CTCGATTTGGGGTGGGTCCTCAGCTAATGACCAGTAGAATACACTTAACAACAGTAACAGGGAGTGCTGGGATTGCCATCGCTAAATGACATGGCCACGTGACATCTCGTTTTATGACTGCATTGCTTAGAGATGGCAATTCCGGTCCCCACTGTAGTCCTAAGTGAGGACTACCTGTAACCATATGTATAATATGAATTCTGTGCATTCAGTAAGTAGCCTAATCAAAAGTCCAGCTGAGAAGACTCTGACTTTTAATTTAAACATGCATAATTGAAATGAAAAATTCATGATGTTTTCATACATATGGCACTGCCTAATCACAATGAAACTTCTGAGTTTAATAACACTGCACGTTTGTTTGTCATAAAACACCCACATTCATATTCCATCATTATCAACAATGGTTTGTATCTCTTTGCTCTTCTGAGAATGAGAACACAGCATTGCTAAGGCCAGATTACATGCTGAAGGGTTAGGCCCCCAAACAACAGCACTGCATCACCTTCTTTTTCTTTCTTTCTTTCTTTCTTTCTTTCTTTCTTTCTTTCTTTCTTTCTTTCTTAGTGTTATTAAACTCAGAAGAGTGTTATTAAACTCAGAAGAGTGTTATTAAACTCAGAAGAGTGTTATTAAACTCAGAAGAGTGTTATTAAACTCAGAAGAGTGTTATTAAACTCAGAAGTTTCATTGTGATTAGGCAGTGCCATATGTATGAAAACATCCTTTCTTTCTTTCTTTCTTTTCTTTCTCTCTCTCTCTCTCTCCCCCCTCTCTCCTCCCTCCCTCCCTCCTTATAAAAACATTTTGCACAGCTGCAGAATGAACTTTCAGACAGTCACCCTGGCTCCACTTTCCAGCAGTGCCTGGAGAAGTCCTGTAGACCTGGGGAAATGGTGCCAGGCAAGAAGGCAGATGAGATGGGAGATCAAGCTAACTGTTCATCTTTCAAGGAGGAAGATAAACAGGGAGAGGGAGAGACAGAGAGAGAGAGAGGAGGGAGGGAGCAAGGGAGGGAGAAAATATTTCACCCCTCCCTTCCTTTTATGAAAGGAAGCAAAACTTCTGTTTATTATGAGACAGGAAACAATTTTTTTTTTGCTCCTTTTGTTTTTAAGTGAAGCGATGGGAAGTGAGTGTGAGACAGCAGGGTATCATTCAATGGGCATTTCACAATGACTGCCTCCAACTTGGTATCACCACTAAGTGGGGCTCATAACACCCCTCATTTGCACCAGATGAGGGGCAGCAAGAGGCATGGATTCCCATGCGCACATCTCTCTGGGGACTTTTGGATAGGCCTGTAGTCACATTCAACCAGGCAATTCCTACATGACTTCTCATACATTTCTAAAAGATGTCTATATTATCTCTGGCTTCAAAAGGAGCTTCCAGGGCAGTTTGCAGCAATATATTTTTAAAGAACAATTCACAACAAAACATATTGCTGATTTGAATTTTTTTTTTTGCATCCTGTTGTGAGGTGGGGCAGTCACACTGCTAGGACCAAATTGTGAGGCATGAGCTTCCAAACAACAGAATTTTATCAGCAGTAATTTTGTTTGTGTGTGTTTTTAAAAAAGAACAAACCAATAACTAAACACATATTAAAACTCATTTTAATGTCCTAAAGGATTTCCATATAAAAAATTTCATGGATACATAACTTTACTGCCTCCAGGTCAACATTTTTGTTTGTTCTTTATTTTTTTCCTTAATGCAGGGTGGCACATCAAATACCTCATGGACATTAAAAAAAAGGACACAGAGAAAAGCTGTTCTAATACGCTTTTCAGAACAGCAGAGCATCAATTATGTGTTTTCTTTCTAGATGCTGTCCTTAAGTTATGGTTTGGGCAACTCAAAATTTGAACCGAATAGTACATACACGGCCCTCTTTGATCATAAGGAATATTTTGTTGTGAATGTTTAGCTTCATAGTGCAGATGGGCTGGATTTTAGATAATGTTGGATTAGATAACCTCCTGTCCTTTTCTGCGCTTGTAGTTCCAGGATGCACCTAATTATATGGATGCTGGAGAAACTGTTCCAAAGACAAACTACGAGCATGGCATTGGCACATAGCATGGCTTGGCAAATGCTGGGATTAAATTCTTTTACATATTGGGATGGATGGATGGATGGATGGATGGATGGATGGATGGATGGATGGATAGACAGACAGACAGACAGACAGATATTTACCTAACATCTATGTATTACACTGCACAGATTTTCTCTTTACATGTTTTCTCCCGTCAGTGCCACACTGCTGCAACGAAGCCAGGAGTCTGCCCCTTCCAGTACTCTGTATTTAGCATGACAGAAGAATGTTAAGGGCATGCAGGCAGTGAAGGCACTGGAGGAGGATTAAAGGGGCGCATCCTGGCTTTCTATAGATACTGAAGCTTGTATCAGAGCTGAGGGGAAAGAGAAAAGTATTCTGAAAGGGCCCATATGTCCCAGTGAAGTGAGTTTTTCGGGTTGAGTGGATAACGTATCTCCAAGTCCCCCCTCCTCCCCCAAGAATTGCTCAAGCCACGGGAAAGCCTAAGGAAGACACCTTTCTAATTCCAGTCAAAGTCTCTGAGATACTACTCTTCTGGAGCAATTTGTTATTTAGGAACTGGGGAGGGAAAATGGCAGTTCCCTTGCTGTAGCTGCATAACACTTCTCTCTAAGCCTCCACTGCTAGACCTGTTCTGTCCTCAAAGTTCAGGAAGTCCACATGGATCAGGACTACTTGGGGAAGAGGAACCAAGCCAGCTTGGCTTGGACTTCTTCAAACCTGGAGCTGAAACAGCTCCTTCAAGATTAGAGAAAAGCTAAGCCTGGGGGATGGTATCAGCTGATTACCGGGTCAGGCACAGCTGCAAGCACTGATACTCAGTTGTTAAGGCGAATGCTGTCTGCCTTCTTATATTAAAAGGAAGCCTATGTACTTCCTTTTTTCCTTATCAATTGAAACTCCTAAGGAATTATTTTGCGTGCAAACTACAACTTTTCGAGAGCTACATTGACAATTATTGAAAACATGCAACCCAATTTATTTTGGGTTCCAATCAGCTATAACCGAAGACTGCAAAGAGGAAACCCAATAGAGGTCAGTGGGGTCACTGGCCTCTCCTAAGCACTGGTGACTACTGTATATTGCAGCTCTGTATTTTAGCTCTGCCACCATGCAAGGCCCATCTAACAAAGGAAGCTTCTTTTCTCCAGAACAGGTAAAATCTATTTTCACCAGAGGTGGACCCAACTGCTTTCTTTCAAGGGCTACATTCCTTTGGAAAGAATTTCTTGGGGAAACAATAGGTGGGGCTTAAATGAGCAGTGGGTAGATTCAAAGCCAAGGTGAGGCCGCTGGTGCATTCTGTCTCTGACACCTCTTCAATTCCCCATTTCCCCTTTTTCTTTTTTGCATTATCTGTCATTTTTCCTCCCCTTTCTTCTTCACCCAGCAGGGTTCTAGAAATGGGACAGACTGCTGGTGCCAGAAGTCCAAATTACTTATGTGCCGATGGATTTAGAAATTAGTCCAAGGGTGCACATGCCCATAGGATCACAGAATAGCAACTATTTGTGGTTTACTTTAGTAAGTCAAAATAAAGGCTGTTCAGTCAGGGCTACCAAAACGCAGAGCTATAATTGCAAAAGTGGTGTGTTTGCTAATGTTTACCACAGAGAAGGAAGGACAGCAGAATATCTTTTGCATCCTTCCCCTGAAACTCCACCTAACAGCCTGAAAACATGTTTTCACATTTCCACTGAAGCTGGATATGGGCCTCAATGCCATGCCATCTTTTTTTAATCTGACAGTTTGGATGAGGTCTAAACTTAGTCTACCACAACTAATTTATGTTAATGTGTCTGCTCTAATAGACCAAACCTTGCCTTCACCCTTTGATAACTTCCTCATGAGATGGGTGTTGTCT